AGTATTAGGTCATCTCATTCAAACATGTCCAGACATCTAGAGAAATGGTGGGAAGAGTAAGAGAGCTAGAGCATTCTGCTTGCTTTTGTTTTGAAGCTAGCACACCTAGCTACGGTATACCCCAATTAAGTTTGTAGTGCCGCGGAAGGGTACACTTAAAAAATAAGAAAACTCATTGTGACCAAAATCGAGGCGGAATTTTTAAATGATTGGTGACATACGTAAAATTCGCAACTCGAATTCTCTGTGTGCTGGCTCAGCTTACGCGTGATACAGTGTTCTCGAAGTGCTACGTTGAAGATATGGTGTGAGAGCTCAAAGAAGGAAGAACGGATGCGAGTTGTGGTTGAGGACGCGCTCACATTGCCCCCTTGCCCAAGAAGAGCGGGTGGATGAAATGAGGTTTCAAATGGCGCATCACAGATGCTGAACCTTTGCGATGTTTGCCCACGAGACTTGCAGTCTAGCTGCAGCTGTTACGCGAATTGTGCCCAAAAATTAGGGATGGTCCACGGAGCATGTTTTTGAATATCTCATTTACTCCCAGATGCAAGAGTCTAGAATCGAATTGGTGTCTGTAGCATTGACCTTCTCTGCCAATAACGTCATTTGAGAGTATCAAGCTGGACCCTGCTCATAAACGAAATTTGAGTGGAATTGTACGCTGAGGCCAAGTCTGAAGTGTCAACTTTGGATTAACGCGAATGAGGAACTACCCGAATTGGATCACGAAAAGTCACGTGGGTTCACGTGGATGATGATTATGGCGATGGATTTCTGAGATGTGCCTCTTAAGCGGCTCTGTCGGGAAAAAACCTCCATCGGTGCTCAAGTGTATGGCTTGTTTCTTAGCGATCAAATTGACAAAGGAATAGCAGTACAAAACTGCAATAACGATATCATCACCTATGCCGATGCCAGACCCCACATAGCTCATATTGCTCACGGGTATTTCGACCAAACGGATATTGTGACCTCTTCTTATCAGCCGTATTTTCCCACCTTGGCAAGGCCGTCGACCTTAGTGTTTTATTATTTTTCTTTGTTTCAGCGAGTGAAGGCACTACTCGTTGGCAAGCGCTACGACAACTCGTTGATCATCTATACTGACATCAAAAGCATCTTGTCTATACTTGTTGAAATGAAGAAGCTGCGCGGTGTCCAGTGTTTTCTAGACGCTGGGATCGGGTCGTTAACAACGACAAGATCTGCTTGACTTCACACCAAAGTATTAGCTTTTTATCTTTCCTGCTGTTCATTTTATTCGAATAAAACCGTGGACATGTTTGAATGAGATGACCTAATATATTCTATTGACATTTATTTTGAGACCAGTCGAACATAGCCCAAACTCCGCCCACTCGTAATAACTTCGTACGAGCGGGTGGGGGAGGAAGTATATAGGGAAATGGGCAAAAACTTTTCCCGCTCAAAATGCCCAGCCAAAACTATACTCTCCGTTCCATTAAAACATCCTTCCCTATTGGAACATTGAAGTAGCTCGGAAAATACGGGCTCACCTCTTTTCCACCCCAAATATGGACGAATTCTTTTCCAGCCCCTCGTTGAGCAATGTCCAACGGACGGTAACTGACCCTGATCCCCTTCCCGATTTATTATACTCTTTAAACATGATGTATTGAATGTTAGAAGATAATTTAAATAAACGTCGGCACTATTCACCCTTCACCGCCTAAATCGCTCAAGAATCAGCTGCTGCTAACGGTAGCCGGTGCGATGATGTGATATCACATCAGTTTGGACATCACGGTAGTTAACAGGGCCTCACTCGTAACAGGCTAATGTATTTCATGTTCTATGGAGTCTGACTACCTCTGAGGACAGTTCCCAGAATTGGTGACTCATGCTGTTCTCGCGCCGTTTGGCGCCGGCACCTGTGGCGCGAGCGCCAAGCTTTCCGCGCTGAACGATCATGATCATCGTGTTCTACGGGTGTGACTACTCCTAAAAAAACTTTCTAGCCAAGTGGTTAGTCGTGGACATTTCCGGCTCAGTTTCGGAGGGGGGGGGGGCAGTAAAGGGTAAATAGTGCCAAACATTTCCCTAACCTGGATATTGATTGTGGCCATGTCCGATCCTCCAAACAAGCGCTCCGTGACAGGAACTTGTGATTCGCTGAGGACTGCGAGCTGGGGTGGCAATGAAGCCTCTGAATGGCTATCGTATTAAATTGCAGCGAGAAAGACAGTACTTTATTTTTGACGCTAGTTTTTACCGGCTACACCAGCATTCAAATCGCGACAATACTCGTTCAATTCTTCGCACGTTTAGGAACGGAAATTACTTTCTCTTACCTCCAATATTAGGCCAATGAAGTGGGATACTCTGCAATTATAATAATAAACATAAATATGAATGCGCTCAGGGTTGGCGCGGGCGGATGCTACATGATAACATACAATGTTTCACCTGAATCATTCCATGAAGACGATAAGCAGCGGATGCGAACTCGTTGAGCACTCCAGGATTCACTGAAGGGTTGTACCTGAAGAGATATGATGAGAGGAGAAATTTTTGAGAGAGGATTTTGAGGGGTACCGAAAACCATCGGAACTTTGCTAGGGATGGCTAAACATAATATTTACTATCAGAAATAACTTGTTAATCCGTGATCGACATATGAATTGAGCCGAAGACGAAGAACTCATTTGATTTTATTGATCCACGCAGTGGTAGCTGCTCGTCATGGAAAAGATCAGATTAGTAAGGTAGCATCACCGGCGTTGCCGTGCAAGGGCGATCGGAGTAGTGTTTGCGATTATCAGATGGAATGTGTGTGTTGAATGAAGGTCAATAATCGAAGCGTGACTGTTAGAGTGAAGAAACATATTGCGAAGCAAAGAGGTTGTTTTAGATGGGTTTGACGGTTTGAAAAAAAATGATTCCAGGAAAAAATGGAGAAGAGAAAATAATCAGGAGCCCGCCCTTTGTAGAGGAAACTCAAGATAGCATGTTTACCTTCTTCCTCAATGGACTGCTCTTTGGAGGGTAAGGCTGCGAATCGAGTGTGTAGATCGGGTAATGCCTTAGAAACGTCATGGTGGTCATATGTATGTTATGGATTGACTGGTAAGACGTTTGAGGGATACTTCTAAAGGTTACAGTGGTAGTGGGGTCGGAATTTTTGAAAATACCAAAGTTGGTGTTCACCCCACTTGTGGGAGGACTGCTTCAAGAGATCACAAGTGCCATATCGAAGGCTTACTTATTGTGCTCCCTGCGAATATTTATTTGCTGAATCAAGCATCAACACGCCAACCCATGCTTTTGTAGTTGCAAAATAGTTATGGCCATCTTATTGCGACCATAATATCATGAATCGCAACGCGAGCCATGAGGTCAGTTAACCGAAAGTCGGAGATGTTCTTCGTCAGAAAATCAAGGCTTTATATGTAAACTTGAATTTAAAGGAAGCGATTACGATAAGGAATTTTCGCATCGGGGGAGAACCTGCGCCACACGGAGCAATTACTTGGCTGCCAAGGAAGCGATGTGTGGCCCTCCCACGGCGAAAGGTGCTGTGGTTGCTGAGCAGGACCCGCGTGACGCCCCGCCCCCAGTGACGTGAACGCCCACTAGTTTTGTTGATGATCTGGATGGACTGTTTGCTGTTGGCTTTTCATTTTGGATGATCATTTCCCTTCTAGCGGCTGTATCTTCCAACTTGCCCACGTATTGCCTTATCAATCAAACACTATGCTTGTTGGCATGATGGCGGCTATCGGGGTTAACACGTCCGAACAACGTCGTTCTTTACCGTCGCTCATCCATGGTCGAAAATGAAAGGGCAATCAAAGGGGTACTATTTTGCTTATTTTTGACGGATTTCTTTGCTTTTTTCGCCATTGGCGTACTATTGAGACCCTCACGTCCCCTCTAAACCCGTGTGAGATCTATCGTAATCGCTTCCTCAATGTCGAAGTATAGAACTTCATATTCAAATCTTACTTCAATATGGAACGCGACGAGATCCGAGCATGGAATGACCGATGAGCCTGGAAGAAACTCCTGGTAGGTAATGACCTGAAGTCGGTTGAATTATTGAAGGGATTCCTTCCTTCAGTAATGGTGTCTTTAAGTGAATACTTTCAAAACTCACCTGTATTACGGAACCAACAATCTTCCTGGTTTCTTGGAAGACACGATCTTGGTTCCAATGACGATGTGTGTTTTGAAGTAGCAGCAACGCTAAAGTGTTCCGATCAACTGAGATGCCTCAGTCCATCTTCACTTGAAGACGTTTTTTCATTAAATTGTTTTGAGAAATTACATTTGGATAAGGTACTTGAGATTTTCCGTGAAGATGGAGAAAGGAGGCGAGGACGTATCGTAGATTTGACAGTGATCTTATTGAGGAGGATAAGGAGGAAAATTTCTAGATGGTTGTATCTGAGCACTGTCGGAATTGTACTTAATTCAGGGAAATTAGGGATAGGAAATTTTGCGGGTGCATCCCTTTCTTAACCACTTCGATTAACTGTCCCATGTTAGGCACTGAGGCGTTTGAGTTTGTAGAACCTCTACCATCTAATATGTAAGGTTAACGGGGGATCAAGGGCAATAAGAAAAGCAGAGACACAGGACGAGTGGTGCCGTGGATGGATTTGCGCATTTGCGAAAGACTCAGCTCTGGAAGGAGCGCGGAACAGAGTAGCTAGCTGACAGCTGTCTTCACGATTTGGCTCAAGTCATCCTGGTGGATGTGGGTGGAAACTCTAGATAACATAAACGCTCCTGTTGGGTGCATTGGAACGATTTGGGTTGAGACCACTGGGAGAGGTCATTGATTCGAGATGTCAAAAGAATCCAATTACGTTTGAGCATTCACGGCTGCAACTGAAGCGTTGTTGGAGGGTAGACTGTACGATGTAACCTGTTTATGCAGATGCGAAGAAAGCCGTTAGGTGTGCAATGGCTGCGAGACCGAGGAAATCGAGTTGGTCGATCATCCCGACAGTCATCGAATCTCGTCGGTTGTTTGGAGGAAAGGTGCGTCCATTCACCATCTGAAATCAGCGCTTTTTCTCGGGATTGTACTGATATCAATACTGAAGTGATACGAACGTGAGTTTTCAGCATAGCTCCTGCTCTCAGACTTCTCAGTGTTACTGCTTCTGAGGAATACACCTGAACATGGATATACTTATGACTTAGATACAAACGCGATTGCAATGATGTAACCTACAGAGCTGCCATCGATGAATGCGGTGTTTTCGTTGTACTGCTCCCTGGGACGATTGCCGGTTCCTGTTCACTAGGGGTCGATCGTGTGATTGCCACGCAGCCTCCTGCTCTGAAAGCGGCTGTTGATTGTATTCTTTGCGTATTTCAACTTTAAAGTGATGTCACGATTGGAAATAGCCTTCTTAAGAGAATTATATTAAGCGTCAGTTAAAGTCGGATTCGTTAGCGCCTGAGGGTCCCATCAGGGCATCATTGTTTCAGTTCACGACTTCATAGATAGGGATTAAAGGAGAGGGGCTGCCTCAAAGCTCATGATTTCATAGAGTAATTTAAGTTTCTGGAGTCTCGGACGTTCTAAAGCATTCAAAGAAAAAGGGGTCGAAACATATAGGAAAGCTACAGTAGCACTTGAGTGTTTGCCGAGACGGTTTATCGTGCCCTACTTTTTTCCTCTCAAAAAAAACTTGAAGATCAGCTGGCGACGTTTTCCTTCCCATGAATCCCAAATGCCTAAGATAGGACCAATTGACACATTGCGGCTCGATGTGGGGATGGAAAAATATTTTGTGCAGTTTTCAATATTTTGCAAGCGATCGGCAAATATTTGAGCCGTGCAAAATCTCAACACTTTCTGCCTGTAGATTCAACATTTCGGGTGTGGGTGGGGCCCAGTTTTATAAGGAATTTCACGAAAATATTAAAAGAAAACTCTACATGAAACATGAAAAATAAGAGATAGAAGAAAAATAAACAAATAAATATAATAATAAAAAAGTAAAAAATCTAATACTCATACGCGCAGACATGAAGAAAAATCGCATTGTCACCAAATTTGGTAAAAATTCGAAACTCTGGAGGACCTAGTTTATCAATGTTTTGTAGGGATTGTTCAGTGATGAGAAAAAGGGCCTGGAAAAGCGTTTCGACCTAAATTCAGATCGCTGCTGTATGTATGTAAAGAGCTTATCTCTCCAGCAACTGGTCCTGGTAGCGAGCAATACATCAAACCTTCCGAATCGCTTCCTCAGAACCTATGGACATGCGAAATTGCTTTTCTCCGTATTCAAACCCTGATTGCAGCGCTTCTTTTTTCGCTTTTCGGCCGCATGGAACTCTCGATGTTGAGTGCGCGGGCGGGAAATCTGAGAAAATCAGAGGAGCTAGGATAGATTCAGCGCTACCTGGGTATTCCATTTTCTGGACCACGTCGTTGATTCACATTATCGTGGTGTCAAAGAGTACCACGTCGTCCCACACGGTCCGCAGAACGTGGTACTCTACGACACCACAACGACGTCACCACATGTCCTCAATGAGGTGAGTAAGAATCTCGATGTCGAGCAAAGTATTTTGGACGGGCGTTTAGTATTTTAGGCGTTTTCAGAGCTTACATGGTATCTGTAGGAGGACGAGGAACATTGGCGCAACGAGGCGATCCCATCTGACACGTGCACACGTTCGCTAGAGCGTTCTTCGTTATGTCGTGGGAGACGAACTGAAAAAATGTAAATCGTCATGACGCAGGCTTCAAATACCCAAGCTGTCGAACATCTAAAAGAACCTCAAACGTACTTGCCCAAACTGCATCAACATGCTGTTCGCGGAACTATCGATGGAATGCTTCGTCGATAGCAGAAACATCGACACTTCTCGAGGATTCGGTCGTCGTCGTGAACCTCAATGCTAATTTTTGAGCCGATTAAAGGACGAATTAACGATGAAAAAGCAACTCATTTCAAACTTGAACCTAGGGGGAGTGGTACACGAAAGAAGGAAGAACCATGAGAAACGGCCCAGAACCCGAGAAATGGGACCCCTTCCTTGCCCGTTGATTTGAGCATTGATGCGACTCTCATCGCTGTGCCCTCTTCAACACTACTCTCTCTCACCTATCTAATCACTCGCCACGTATTGAACTGCGGCGAGTGAT